TAAGACGAAATACTAATAACTTATCTTAAGAGGAAATATTTAAGTAGTCTGTATTATAAGGTATTAATATAACAACAGACACCATTAACCTACAAATATCATTAAGAATAAATTGAAACGCACATTTGAATGCGCACTTTATTCAAATAAACAGGAAAGACAAGGACACCAGTTATTTGATAGACGCTAATCTTTGATATGACAAACAATCGTATTAAAATATCAGATTTTATGTAAATTAGAGCTATTTATTTTATTATAGTCGTAGTACAGCGTAAGGTCGACTAGTAGGTAAGCAGAAATACAATTACAATGTCAGTTGAAACTGGCACTGGAACTAATGGGCAAGTATAATGTGGTTGTTTAATTTTAATTGCTCAATAATCAGGTTTCCAAAATCTGTCCATACAAAACAAATGCGAGTCACTTGCTTAAAGATTTTATGCGCCTATTTTGTTGCGACCTTCAGAACTTGGGGTCCAAATCCGAACGCAGACTCCTTCGAATCATTTCGTCAATTTTCTTTTTTTTTTCAGAAAGAAAAAGTTTATTTTCTCTTTCAAAGGCTAAATATCTGTAAAGTACTTATTAAAAAATGCAGCTAACAAGACATACTTTTGTTTAAACTAATAAGTTAGATTTTGGCTTTTTGATATTTCAATTATTCTAATTACCTACATCTCATTCAGACTGCTTTTGTACCTACTGAACAAGATGTGATGGAAAATAATTGAATTGCACTCTACTCTCTAATAGTGTGTTATAGCACTCTTTGTACAGGTTATTACGTTTACCACTTCAATTATTATGATTGTCATTGAAACTGCAATTTGCGTGCGACCAAGTGGACATTAGAAATCGTTGATAACGTTTTAATTGGTTTACATGCTGGAAATGTTAACAATTAGTTTGTCAATGCAGATTGAAAACGCATATTAGTTGGCTTAAAGATACTCCTGCTGAAATGTGGTAGGTAATTCTGATTAATTGTATTATTTATGTTTTGAGATAAAGATAGACAGCAAGCTAGTTGATGATCCGAGCTGATAGAAAGCGGCTACTATCGCCCTTGGACATAATAATTCTTCTTCTGGTCGTGCCGACAATAAACCTAAACAGTGTCAGCCCAAATTCAGCTACAAGGTATGATAATTAGTATTAAATTAAATGCTTTACACTAACATAGTTATAAACTTCACTCCCATTCAATGTGGTCGTTTAGCAAAGATGTTTTTACACTTTTGTAGGTCTAATTCAACTAGGAATAGTGCAAAGCGTTTTGTAGTCGTCGTTTTTCAGTCAAATGACGTCCACTAATGGACAAAGGCCTCCCCCAAGGATTTCCATAATGAACGGTCCTTCTGTAGTAGCGAAATAAAATTGCATTTCTAATACTGAAACTAAACTCATAAAAAAGAGTTATTAAAGATAAAAATAAATACGCTGGCTGTCAGTTTTAGAAGCAGTATCGAGCTCACTGGCCAGTTAAGGCCACCTAACGCTACCTGTTCCGCTATTAAAACAATCGCCTACCACCGTAATAAAATAGAGCAAAAACCACCTTCCCGAGCGTGACGTAACCGAGGCGGCCTCAGTATTGTCACTCGATTGTTTGCCAAATCCTAGAATCGATTGTCGCGACTCGATTGTTTCGAGCGATATAATTGGCGGAAAACGCAATTTATTCAACTGGACGTGTAAATTGACAATTTTAACGCGTGTCGACTCAATTTGAAATGGGGAGATACAAAACAAGATAAATTACCTATATAGATTTATCTTCACATTTGACGTTCAATAATGATTTTCGAAGATGAGCTAATAAATAGGCAAATAAATTGAACGCACGCAAGCAGTGATGTCATATCACAAAATTGATTTTGATGTAAAAATTGGTGAATTTTTGGCTAGTATTACCGTGATTTTGGGCTCGTATTCTTAAACTAAGTATGCCCAATAAATAAATAAAAAAATAAATCTTTGGACAATTTCACACAGCGCCAGCTAGCCCCAAAGTAAGCAACTTAATGCTTGTGTTATGGGTGCTAGCTTAACGGATATACTACTTATATACTTTCTTTTTTTTTAAATACATAAATATTATACATAGTCACACCCAGACCCGTCACAGAAATTAAAATTCATCATTTCAATTTCTGCCCGGCCGGGAATCGAACCCGGGACCTCTCGGCATAGTAGTCCGTTCTGAACCACTACACCAAACGGCCGACTACAAACTCAAGTACATACTCGTAAAATTTAAATCTGATTGGTAATGATATTTGGACCAATCTATTAGCTTTTTGAGTGCAGGATGTGAGTGCCATGCCATTTCTGATACGGGTCCTTCTAGCTACAAGTCTGTCAAAATTCTGGCCTTTCTTATTAATACAGAGCCAGGGTGAGTCTTCTGGGTTTTTCTCGAATGAACAAGCAATGTTTCCCCGAAGCACTTGTGTCGTAACGGTGACATTTGCGTGATGACCTTCATGCTTGGACCTCAACCTGTTCCACACCAGTTGTGGGTGCGCCGCTCTGTTTTGGACAGAACATGATTTTGTTTTATGTAAGAAAAGTGGCCTGATGTCTGGTTTTACGCAAAGTTAAAACTTTCATCTGGGTAGTCATTTACCTACTTGGTCAAAACAATCTTTTAAATGGCTCAATCGTTGACTGTAGTTTAAAAAGTCAAGATTTGAGAAATGTTTCAAAGTGTTTCTGGACCACTACTACTAATTATGAATGACATCAAAATACCCTCAATTCGAAGAAGGTTTGCTCTTGTAAGAGCCGTAAGTATAAATGATTTTAACGAGTTTTACAGTGACAACTCGTCAGTCAAAGCAATTTACATTATTTTAACATTACACTAAAATACCGTGAAGCCTGATCCCGTTCGAACTGAGCGCCACAAATTTAAGTTAATTACGAAAATAATCGCCCCTCTTAAATAAAATTACTTAAACCGACGAAAATGTTCGAGAGAAACTCAGAAAGATTTATTTTAAAATGTTTTCAGAGGAGTTATTACCGAGCTTATTATTGCTATACAAAAACACCTACCTCATTAATCTTTGGTGATATTTTAGAAAGAGGTTTTGTAGTTGTACAAGATAAAAATATTTTCTCTGTATCTACCATTTCTTCAAGCAGCACAAATTGCTAAGACTAGGTTTTGTTGATTTAAGGAAATCAACCATTCCAATTTTTATTTTCTGTATCTTTAAACGCCTTTTCTTAATTTTGTGTCCGTTGCCGTTCTATTAACGCGTTAAATAAAACAGGTATGTGTAAACCTGTGAGTGGAGACTACAGTAAGTACTTTCTCCGGCAAATTGCTCTGAGAGTGCAGACAATTAATATCACAGACCAATCCGGGTTATTAGGTTTGTTAAGTGGTTCCAATTAGCCCAGCCAGACACATACGCCATTAGACTTCTCAGCTATAATGTCTAGCGTGTTATTACACTCTATTAGAGCTTTACACGGATTATCCAGTTTTTTTTCTATCTTAGCTACGATTGGGATAGGTAATAAATTTGTCAGTTAAGATAAAGGGATGAAAGTTTTCTTAACAGTAAACAATAACACTGCTAAAACAAGTACGAGTTTTTGTACATACAGATTTATATTCATACCACAAGGATTTATGTTCATTTGGATAATTATACAAAATTACTACATAAATTACCCAATCCCTTGAAAGGCCACGTTACACCTACAAGGTTGCCACATCTTACCAACCAGAGAAAACTTACCATCTCGTATATTTACCCAAATGAGGGCCATAATTCTAAATTAATTACCAGTTAGTATGTTAACTGATGACTATCACCGTGTTTAGCCGATTGATCAATGTAATAAACAAATACGTTTCGAAACGCTTGGGAAACGTAGTTACGTTGGTAGCAATCATGCGATGATAACTCATGCGCATTGTTCCATAGAGCATGCGCGTGCCACAGACTATATTACAGTAGGCTCAGACTTTGTTAGTCTCTCTTAGGTATTAGGTAAACCAGGGATAAAACTCTAGCAACAGTTGATGCGCTAATCGGGACGTGTAGTGCGTACTGAAAAGTGCGGTACCTAATTAGGCAAATGGCGTAGTAAGTATTCATGAAACAGAGTGGTTAGAATTTTTTATTGCCTACTAAATGCTACTGTTGGAAATTTCATGAAACTGATCCGTTTCTGGCAGGTCCAATCTAGTTAATAGCATAAAATTAGTAAAAAGCATACTGCTTCTAATATCAGTCGTTACCATGCCAACTAAGCATCAATTCTGCTGACCAAGGTTTCTGATATATACCTACATAATATTATGTTAAATGAGCAATGAGGGTTTTCGCGATTGATAAATCCGCCAGATGGCAATACGTAGATGGGAGGTCCAAATGCTGCATGATTGGTGGATTTTGACATATCTGACAATGTCATGTCAAAAATTGCCATTCCATCAAAAATCTCTTGAACTGAGTTTAACATTTTAGGTAACCTACTGCATCCTAGTGTACTGTGTCAAAGATCATTTGCGTTCACGGCTGAGCGATTAGTGCACTGTCATTACCATATCATCGCGGCAGGTGGGAATATAATGTGGAACAACAAATTTTGCTATAAGGACGAACGATTTCATAAGTTTAATAGACGTCATTAGACTCCTGAGTGTGACTTTACGATCCTGAAGGAATGTGCAATCAGATTTGGTCATCTCCAACATCAAAACATGACAATCCTACTTCGTGCTTTTAGAAACTTTTGCTGCCATCAGTGTTTTTCAGGTGTTTCCGAAATCAATAGTCTTTAAGAAAAAAGCATAATTATTATGATCCAAAGACAGATAGCGAATCTGCTATAACTACTTTGTTTTTCATCTTCTGAATCAGACCAATTCGCACTCCTGTTCATGGTGCATGTTGTCAAGGTACCTAAAGTAGAGCTGCAGAATTTTTACTCCTATCACCTACAGATTAAGACAGACTTTTGAACGTGCCTACCTTCATAATGGTTGTCGTCGTCATCGAGCTGGTGGCCGGCGCTGATCTGGCGGCACAGGTCCTCGTACTCGGCCCAGTAGGCCGCCAGCGCCGCGGGATCCGGCGCGCGCGGCGGCAGCGGCAGCGCCATGCGCACCTCTGGCGACTCCTGCGCAGAAAACCCGACATAAGCATACGAAACAATCTCAGTAATTTGATAGAGAGAGTATGGAAATGGACGTAAAGGTAGCAGGGAAGCGCTGGATGCAGACCGCTACCAATCGATCAACGTGGAGAGCATTAGGGGAGGCCTATGTTCAGCAGTGGACGTCCTATGGCTGAAATGATGATGATGATGATGTATGGAAATTTCTTTTGGAGCCAGCATCACGAGTGTGTGTTGAGAGGAATCTTTATGGCTTGTGTCCGTAAATATGTAGTACGATAAGGTCATTTAGTAGGGTAATTTACACATTTACAGGGCAGATATGCACCATCCTAGACTGCATCCCACTTAACACCAGGTGCAATTATGGTCAAATACCTGCCTTGTTATGCATAAAAAATGTTATGCATAAAAAAAATAAGGTGTAGGTTATAGTCTCTATTGCAAGTACGACTAGGTAGCTGTATATCTCATTTTTCAGAGGCAAATGAATGGTTTTGCCAACACTGACCAAGCTGTCCAGATGGTTTGGGGAGACCTGAATCCTGAAGCTCGCATATTTGTCCCTTACTCGTCTTTGTGTAACTTTGGTAGTCGTCTTTTTTTACGTCACTTTAACTTGATAATGATGATAGAAATGTTTAGTCTGTAGATATCGAGGATATCGAGATAATTGCTATTTAATTGCAATTCCACTTTAATGCTGCCTGTCTGAGACACAAGTTCTATATCAAACAGTAACATGTGGTGAAAGAGCAATACAAATCGAGTATTAAAACAGGGCACGAGCGCGTGTGATATCAGACATTAGTGCCCTATTTAGTAAGAAATATTTTGCACAACATGCGCAAATTATAACAGAATCATATTAAACTCACGACGCTTGGGAAATAAAACATTAGTAAATTCTATAGCAGCATCTGCGAGTTGAATCTGAATTGCATCACGCTCTACTTCTGCATTGAACTTTTGAAACCTAAATACTATCTGATCCTAAATTCTAATACATTTATAATACCCTCGCACAAACAAAGGATGCATGAATCTCGTACAAAGATATCATTGCAAAATAGAGATAGGTACCAAATGGTATTGGATTTCTACCTACTAAGGATTAGTAGTAATAAAAACTCACAAAACTAATTTATTTTCGCAAATTTATTTGTCCCAGTATAAACCCTACCACAGCCTAACCTAGCCCAATGAATGGGCAATGGGCAATAGTACCTAATAATCACAATACCACTCCTGTGTGTCGCGCAGTCGGATAAAAAGCACACACAATAGTATATCATAGGTAGGAACCTAAACTCATTTAAATACACACAAGGAAACATAATATCACCGCTTAAAGAATTAAAGTGTTAAATAATGAGACGCTAACTCCTCATAATCGCATCTAAGCCGAAGTCGTGCCTTCCTCGCGGTGATCGTGATCAACATGCGGAATCGCGCAGACATTCAGGCTGTGTCTAACTATAGTAGGATCAATTGAGCGATTTGCTAACGTTTAATGTCTATCCTTTTCACATGCGAGCATTAAGGCTAGGTATAGCAGACGCGCGACTTTTGATCCACGACAAAGGAGTACGAAATTTTACCCGCGACAACAGGGTATGCGTTTAGAATTTTTGTTTGTGTTTCAATCTGTTTGCTAAGCTGTTTCTTTAATTAAATTAGGATTCAATCTTACCATGTCCCTTTCTAATATTTTTTGTAGGTTTGGAAAAGTATATTAAAAAACTTATTTAATCCTTTCTTGATTTAACATTAATAATAAGCATTTTTGTATAGTTAGTTGGAATTGTGGGGAGGCCTTTGTCCAGCAATGGACGTCATTTGGCTGAAACGAACGTAGGTATAGCTAGCAACGTTTTCGGTTGAAAGCTCTAGTTCTAGGAATTTAATGAATGATAATTTAATTAAATGAATTTGGTCTTCACGTGCGCAGTCGAAGGTAAATTATTAACATTTATCTAACGACGAGCTAAAGTAGCGTAGTCTGTTTGGGGCCTAACACTGCTGCTTATGCTGATTTAGTTTGTTCACGATATATTTTCCATTAGGAACCATTTACAATCCAATAACGTAACAGTTTCATTAATATTACCATTTAAGTTGATTCTAAATGAAGCGTTGATAAGGTATGTGAATAGCAATTTGGAACACATTTAGTTAGATCTTCTTGTATTCTTTAAAAATAAAACTATCCAACCAAAAATATCTGTTGATTAATTCTTAACTGGACTTTGGTCAACTAGAAAGGAGTTCAACTTGAATGTAATGAAGCATACCTATAGACTGAATTTAACACAATTTCTTTAAATTGAATCTTTATTTATGATTTCAATAGCTTCAATCATCTTACAAATTCGCAATTCATGAAAGGTCGAGTTCTGCAACTCTACCAACAGCTTGCTGGACATGCCTTTTCAAATGTCAAATATTGACAGACCGACCATGCAGGGATGTCGAAATATGTTTTTTGCATTCTGACAATGGTGCCCGGCGGCTTGAAACATGATCGCCAATGTTCAAGCCGCTTCAAACGGATGATGAAACATAATATGACGATCGCGCGCTGTTCGAAACAATTGAAACTCTATTGTCTGTCGCATATTGTACTATTATTGTAAATGCTAGTTACTGCCTGTCTGTCTGGTTACCTTTTCATGTTTAACCATTGGTCCGATTTATAAAATGTAGAGACAGTTCGAGACCTAAGGAAAAATATAGGAATGTTTCTTAAGTTTCTATCCCAGCCTTTGAAAAAGGACCACGCGCGCGATGAATTCTTTCAGTCAGGTGGGCCAAGGCAAATCCTTGCTCATATAAATGCAAAAGTAACTCTGTCTTTTACCTTTTCTCGTTAAGACCACCTAAACCGATTGAGAATTTGAGATGATAGAGAGATTTTAAGACACAGGGAAAATCGTAGTTTTATCCCAGTTTTTCAAAGGGTGAACCGCATTATAGACTTTCAAACAGGCCGAATTTCAACCAGGCATTCTTATAAACAATACAAGTACGGCCGCACCTCGTACGAAATGCAAAACTATCGCTATCTGTGGACGCTCCGCCGCGCGTTAGCATACCGCGATAACACAAGGTCGACGCCGAAGAAAGAGGCGGAACCATGTACTTGCCATAGATTGGACAGGGTTTAATACTTCCTAGCTTGAGACAGGTGTAATACTCTCGTAGCTATTTTATGGGTTGACAGATAGAAGCCACAAAATACTTAGAAAGTAACAGATGACAATCGCGCTTGCATGGTTTAGACTGGTTTGTGATTACTGGCGATTTCTTGTCCGTGAGCGTTGTATATGTGTATGTTGCCGAGCGCACTTTATTGTAAGCAGATTGTCTTCTGCTCCTATCTATTTTATGTAGAATCTCTATCATACCTAAACAGCAGCAGCTATCGTCAAGATATTTGTATATCAGACTTATCAAGCAATAAAAGATAAATAATGATAAAAACATTCCACAGTAATTTATCGGTCACATCTTTTTTTTAACACGTTGAGTGCGAAACCAGGTCTATAGACCTTGTGTACGTCTCGCTTACCGTGCGGCTAAGAAAATTATAGTCTTCCTTGTCGTGCGAAAGGCATAACTTCAATTGGGTCCGATGTAGGAAAGTGATGAATATATATCTATGATGTATTTTTAAAATAGAATCCAATGATGTACCTACCTTAATACCAGGTTTTTAGACCTGGTACCGCACGGAAGTAATAAAATGTCTTCACAATGCGAAACCAGGTCGAAGCACCTTGTACCCTGCGCACCTGGTACCGCACCCCACGCTAGCTTCGTGCAGCCAGTGTTGCCTCGCATTCGTAAGAAACGCACATGTCGACATGGCGTCAAGAGAAACAAACAAAATCAAAACTGCAAATTGATTATAATTTAATTTGCTACACGATTTATTGCTAATTTAAATATGCTAATTTAAATTAATGTTTTTCGTGACAAACATTTGAAGTTGTAACTAAATGTTATTAAATAATATGTTTTCTTTAAATATAGCTTATTTAAGTATTTATGCACGTATGTCTTATTTGTAAAATATTTAGACTAAATTATTAAAACATCTTTGTTTGTTACTTTTTTAAATTTTTATTAAAACTTAATTTAAACTATCGATATTTGTATTTCACATCCCTAGAATACCCACCAGACTTCCCTACTTCAGTGCGGCACAGGGTGCATAAGCCTTGTATTTTGAATATAGCTATAATTTTTATACTAAACAAGTTATTCACGAACGCCTTCAGGTGTATGTCAATAAATGCATTATTATTAATATTCAAAGAAAAAAAACACAATATCTATTAACATGAAGCCAAAAATAAAATTAATATATCTTAAATATTACAAGGTCTTTAAGCCTTGTGCCGCCACAATGTAAGTTTTAATACCAGGTTTACTGACCTTGTACCGAAGGAATGGAAAGTATTAGAAAGTTACTGCCGCAGCAAAGGTGTTAAACAATAATTGCATTTGTGGTCAACAGTTAGGCCCGGCTTCTGAATTGAGAATTACAGCACATCTTTTACCTACTCAAGGAAAAGTCCATACGTTCATAAATTAGAAGATGACCACGCTCAAGCCAAAAATCTAAATTCAGAAACAGGGCCTTAGTCGCGTATTGACTCGAAATTAAAATAAAAACATAAAATAATAATATGTTTTAAGTTATATTTCCTTAAAAGTTCGCAATCCAAAATAAAATTGACCCGCATGTTCCGAGAACCCATGATTCACCATTCTGCACGAATATTAACAAAGCAATCAGTTTCATTGTGCTAACCTGATTAATGTGAAACATTTTTAAGTTATGAACAGGGAGCAAAATAATGAAGAAGAAATTCTTCAAACTGTCATCAATTAATCTTTTTTTATCTGACGTTCATAAGTTCCAAAATACTGGTCAAAATTGAATAAATATTTTTGATTTGATTTGAATTGATTAGGCATTTAATGAAAAACGAATG